TGGATCTTCTAATTGTCCTGGGAGAGGCTGTCCTCCACTGTCACTGGGAATGACCAGATAATCTTTCTGGGGCCCGTTTGAGCCCCTGATCCCCGTTTCCCGCCTTTAAAGATCTACCTTGTCTATCTCTTGTGGACCAGCATTCGTAAGTCCAATGTTATCCCTTTCCACACTTCCTGCAGAGACCAGGAGGCTGAGGCTTTCTATTTGATGCATTCCTGGTAAAAGCATTATTTCTAGGTATGCGTTGTCTACAGTTCCTACTAAGATGTCCTATTTTACCACATTTAAAGCACGTGGCATCTTAGTTTTACCCTACTGATGATGTGTTGTTACCATGGTAATCCTGCTTAGTACGAGAGGAACCGCAGGTTCAGACATTTAATGTATGTGTTTGGCTGAGGAGCCAATGGGGCGAAGCTACCATCTGTGGGATTATGACTGAACCCTCTAAGTCATAATCCCGCTCAGGCGGAACAATAAAGGAACGTGAGCTGGGTTTAGACCGTAGTAGTTCCGACCATAAACGATGCTGACTGGCGACATGGCAGCGTTATTCCCATGACCCGCCAGACAGCTTCCAGGGGGGAGTATGGTTGCTTTGTAGGTTTGGCAATAGCATCCTGCTTCTGTACAGCCTACAGCCACAGACAAGGATCTGTCTCTTCTTTTCTTTGCCTCAAGTCCCACTTGCTATAGTCTGGGCTCCAGACGGGCCTGTGTGGCTCTGTTCTCACGAGGTGGTGCTCTGCTGAGGGCCTGCTGTCTCCTGCCTGAGGAGGAGGCCCTCCTTGTGCACATTACTCTTAACTTTGCGCTATTTTTGTAACCACTGTGTCACAATAGAACCCTTTTGTTACCAAGTCTTGAACAGGCAGGCGGGTTCCTCCTTGTTAGCCCTTGCCTGAGAAGCCATGGCGCTTCCGGTCTTGTTAAGTCCTTTGTTTTTGTCTACCCTTCCCTCCCCACTGAGCACACTAAGAGTCCTCCTTGTATTTTAAATCAGAATCTTTTCTTGATCAATCACAGTGCAGGTCTGATAAACAGGTCTGAACTCTTCTCCCTTTTCTCTTGGTTGGTGGTTCCAAGACTGATACTCAAGTCTTTTCAAGCTAAACATGCACCTGACCACTGGCCTTAGTGACCAATATGTTTCCATGATGGTGGTACATTTTGTCTTTTGATAAATCCTCCCTAAATGTGATGAATTGTATGTCTCCTAAGTTTAAAAACAATTTAGTTTCAGTTCCATATTTTAGTTATCGTCCGTCTGACCCATGTTAGTGTACAGTGGAGTGGGTTTGTCTCACTTAAAACTCTTTCCTCCTCTTCCTTGACCTTACGGTACTCGTACTCATGGGATTTCTTCTGGAACCTCCATTCTGGCCCATTGTTATGGCCTTTCTTCATGTGTTAATAATATTCTGCCTCCTACAGAATAAGGGTCTACTCCAAAATTCCTCTGTTAGATACCAGCTTAGGACATACACTTAGGCTCTGATATCAAGAGGGGATCAAGAAATGGCCTAAGCTGGCAATAGTTTAAGTCACCTGCAGGCTCCAGAGTTGGTCTGAATGAGGGGCACTGACAGCAAATGAAAAGTCTGGGACTGGCTGGAGAACAAGGAGGGGGGTATGAGAAAAGCTGCTATTCTGTGTGCAGTGGGCAACGTAGTGCTCAGTGTGAACACATGCTCCACCCTCTCCAGCAAGGGCGGGGAGCACTGTTGGATGGAGATCCATGGGTGGGCTGGACTTTCACCCAGCCCATGAGGATCATGTAGCTTTGAGGAGGGAACCTGGAAGTTACTGAAGAGGTGCTTTTGCAGGTTTCAAGAAAGCAAACAAAGAAAATATTGCTGGGAACACGACATAAAAATCGCTGGTGCCTTGGTGATGTGGTGCGCACTGAAATCCCAGCACCCTGGGGGCAGACACAGGAGGGTCATTGTTTACACCTAGTGGGAGAACTTTCCATTCTCACCCTCTGGCCTCCTCACCTGGCACAATGAAATCAATTCCTCCTGGGATCTTATTATGCCCACCCACCATCCTCTTCATGTCTACTGCTTTATATATTTAACATACTCCTTGGGGCTCAGTTCACATTGATACACCGGGAACTGTAGCTTATAGCAGGAGCATAGCATAGCTTTGTACTGAAGCTGTTTAAGATTAGGGTACATTTCTCTGGTGTTTATCTGCTATTCCCTTCTAAAGGAGAAATCTAAGGAACTTAACTATATCCCCATTAGACTTAATTTTTCTTCCCTTTTTTGTTTTTCGAGACAGGTTTATTTTGTGTAGCATTCAATGTCCTAAAACTCACTCTGTAGAACAATCTGGCTTCAAACTCACAGAGATCTGCCTGCTTCTGCCTCCTGAGTGCTGGTACTGAAGACATAGACCACCACTGCCCAGTTCCCCAGTGAACTTTGTTAACAGTCACTTTCTAACACTCCACCTATCTGATTTAAATGCCAAATCAGTTTTTAAACCTAGGAATCTTTGCATCTGAATCTTAGCAAGACAAGCATATTGAAGTTAGTCGGTACTTCTTTTAAACAGCCTTTAATTCTTAGGCTTCACTTTATTTATGTTCCTTGAATCATAATTATTGAAGATACCTGGTCACTGTAGGATAGTACTCCCTATAGATGGCTCAGGCTGATAGCATCTCTGTGGTGTGCCCAGGCATAGACCCTGTCCTCCCTGGTTTCTATCCAGTGACAATCTGGTGCAGGGCCCTGAACAGGTTTGGTGATCTGGGTACGTGGTGTGGTGTGTGCAGTGTATAGTTGGTGTGTACAGTGTGTCTTTTATTAGGAAGCAAGCTGTCTACCCTTCTGTAATCCTAGTCCTAGCTAATTGTTTGGACACAGAAGAGGTAGTTAGTTTAGAAAAATATCCCCTCATGAAGTTCTTCACGACCTCTGCGAGTGATGCTATTAAGAGAAATGCATACATCGGAATGACAGATTCCATGTCATCTTTCCCTTTCATAATAGCAAAAACTTTAAAGGATCTGTCTCTAAAGTTTTCACTCAGGGTTCAAGAGAGATGCTACAATAAGTGAAGGGACTAATATCTGAGGTTAAAGAAAAATGATCTACTCACATGTTCTTTCTATCCATGTCTTTTTGTTATTATTGTTCTACCACACCTCTTGGGTATCAGTACGCATGGATTTACAACCATAATTCCTGTGTCAATGCAATGTGAGGCTTGAGTTTTTCAGGGTCACCAAGGTAGATAAGACTTACACACAGAGCAATAGCTGTCATCTGTCATTCATGGCAATAGGTAGGAGGGGCTTGGTTAGTGAGTTTCCTCGATGAGGTCAACTAAGCATTAAACATCAAGGGAATCTAAAAGGGAGCAATCCTGTGCTTAGCTTCGTTCTTTAAATGTGGCTAAGTATTAGGCTAAAACTTTACTGATCAGCAGATCTCATGATAAGGTAAAGACTGTTTTTTCTCCATGCACTGATTTCAAGCAGCTCTAGAGCCTTTTTTGTTGTTGTTGTTGTTTTGTTTTGTTTCATTTTTCAGTGGGCTGGGTAAACTTTCTCGGTAGCTGGGTAACTGGCATGACCAGCAGAGGAAACCTTAACTTTTTAGGTCTAAAGACAGCACCTATCTTAAGGCTGCAGAACACAGAGAGGACTTAAGCTAAATCTGCACAAGAGCAGAACCTGGCTTGGCAGTGGAGGTCCTCAGCTGACTTTTCCTCTGAGGAGCAGCAAATGGGCTGACTGCCTTTCTCATTATTTCCTCTGGGTAAACACAAGCAGCAAATCTCTGAGCTAAAGTCTTCGGGCAATAAACTGAGGTAAAGGTAGATGGAAGAAGAATGAGGATGTTTTGGTGTGAGTTAGTATAGGTTATCACTTCTCTTATCTGTTAGTGATGCAACACCAGGGCATGCTTATTTTCTATCTGTCTAAGTGACAAAGAATTAACAGTCTTAGACACGAAGTCATTCTATCTCCTTGGATACCAGGGAATGTCTTAATTGAAATGCATTTAATGCTGACCAAATCCCTGCCAATAAAAATAATTACTGGAGAGCAGATCTCTGTGTTTCCTTTGGAAAAAGGAGCAAAGACCTGGTAGTGAGAAACAGGTTTTTGACTGAGTGACTGTTTACACACGTATGTAGGGAATGTTATCATTATATTCCAAATACCCGGGGGAGCTTGTACCCAATAAATGATCAAATAGTGCTGAATTATGGGAAATAAGTCCCAAGTTTGTAACACATGGGGTAAGCTACAGTAAGACATCAACAGCAAGAAACAGCCACTTTAGTCAAAAGGCAATAGTTCCAACATGCCTAGTATCTCCGTTTAGTCCCCCGACAGAATCCTGATGGGCTGACCGTATGAAATGCCGCTGAATAATAATTACTGCATGATCCTGATGCTCATAGCATCCCAAGAATCATGTTTCTACCTTGTCTATTGGCTTCTCAGCGCCACACAACCTGCGTTTTCCTTCGGGGTGGGAGAAAATTTACAGTTAAAAGGCAGACACACACGATCTGCTCATCATTTACTTTGGAAACTAAACACAATTCCGGGTGCTGCCAAGTACTAAAGTGGGGATCTGCCTGACTTGGTGAAGTGGTAGCCACCTCAGGATCCTCAGTTCCAGGAGGTTCTGAGCAGCAGCCTTGTCTACCTGGAGACATTTCCTTCCTTTTTCACCAAGTTCAGGAATGAGGGGCTGACACTGGACACCTGCAGGAGAGCAGGAGCTGAACCCCGCAGGTGCTCACAGAACCTTGCATCTGACAACACTTTCCTAGTCTGGCCCCCAGAGCTAGGAGCCAGAGGGCAGAGAGTGGGGTGAGGGGGCGGGGCGGGCGAGGCTCTGCCCTCAGGTTACTTACTCGACCTGGCACAGGCGCCTGCAAACCAGAACCTGCAGCAGCCTCTACCTCGTTTGCTTTCCAGAGGTTGGACATAGACTAGGACCCAGAGAAGCTCGCAGGGAGCCATGGGGAGCCGTGTTTCTCGGGAAGATTTTGAGTGGGTCGACACGGATGAACCTCATGCGCAGAGGAAACGGGAGATCCTGGGTGAGGTCTTATGCATATGCTCCAGAGTGTGTAGTGTGGCCACTGCTCAGGCCCTCAACAGAAGGAGAGGCCTGGGCAGACTCAGGGTGCTCACAGCCTTGGGGATGCATGGGACTTCACCGATCCCCAAGACGTACTATCTGTTTGGTGAAGAGGCACAGGCCAGACCCTGAACATGGCACCCTCTGCCCAACCTGCTGAATCAGGTTATGGAGCACCAGACTGAGACATCCCAGGCCTTATCCACTAGCTAGGAGACTCTTAGGATGTCCGGTGGGCAGTGGCTTTCCTAAGTAGCCTGTCACTGGGGTGTGAGGCTAAGGAGGTGCTCCTGGGAAATCCTGGGGTCCCTGGAGTCAAGTACACCTGAAACAATGCAGGTAAGTCCCAGTGAGGGGACACCACTACCCTGGGACCACAGGGCTTGTTGGAGAGGACAGATCCTGGTGTGCTCACATCTCCTGTCTTTGTAACTCTACCACAAACCTGGGACACCAAGGGCAGTTCATAGACAATTCTCATCTTTTTTGGTTGTCAGGGTGAAGAAACAGAAACACAGATGACCAGCCAAATACAGAAATACCTGCCTTGTCCTGACAGTTGTTTAGGTTTTGAGGTCAGACCAACCAGGTCTTCCAGCTCTAGGGCACACTGAGCGGTCTGTGTTGACAGGAAGTCTCCCCTCTCTCCCTGGCTGCTTTCATGAGCCGCCAGGCTTCTGAGGTGGATCCTTTATGACATTGCCCAGCTCATCCTCATCGCAGTGCTTTGACTTCCCTGCCTGTTAAAAGATGCAGTGAGAATGAAGGGGACAGATGCCAGGAGGAGGATGCTGACCTGCGTTACACTGCCTGCACAGAGCATGCTCTTAACTTGTCCTCTCTGTTTAAAACCAGACACTACTGGGAGGGGCTTTGAATGTGAGGACACCTCCCTCCAGTGCTGGGGATCACACCCAGGGTTCACACAGCAGCTCCACACTGTGGCATGCCCCTGGAACTCCCATACAAAATAGCTCCCTAGTTTTCTCTTGACGTCCATGTGACCAATAAAAAGATCAGACCCCAATTTTTATGAGTATCTAAATTTAGAATTTTTTCATTTCATGAATGCATTAACACTAGTGGGTGTGAGAACCTTTAAGTTTCATGGTAAGACAGCATTTTAAAGACTTTTATCTGGTTCAGGGTTTCTTCTTTCTCTCTCTCCAAACAATATTGTAGCTTATTTGTATATATATATATATATGTATATATACATATATATGTGTACAAATATGTATACATATATATACATATATATACACACACACACACACACACACATACACACACACACATACAGTTTTTTTCAAGACTGGGTTTCTCTGTGTAGCTTTGAAACCTATCCTGGCACTCCCTGTGTAGACCAGGATGGCCTTGAACTCACAGAGATCTGCCTGTCTCTCCTGTCTCCCAGGCTGGTCCCAAGTGCTGGATTAAAGGTGAGCCCCACCAACACCTAGCAATTTGCACAGTTTTCTGAGATATCATCCATTACCTCTTATCTATACTTCATGTACATATTGTATAAGAATAATGTGATGCCCAACCTTACAGAAACTGACTCTTAAACTTAGCATTTTCTTTAATAGTCAGAAAATCAAGGATGGAAGAAAGTGTTAATTGATGCTTTTCTCAGTGCTGAGCCTCCCACAAACTTATCACCCATGAACCATCTCACCTGCAAAAGCTGAATGGGCTTTGTATTTCTTGATGAAAATACTGTTTAACCACTCAGTGTTCGATTCTGAAGAAAGAAAAGAAATAACTTTAAGGAAGAAGAATCTGGGGATTTATTTAAATTACATCATCAAAATGACAATGCACTTTGGAGGAAAAAAGAATCCATACACTTTAAATCTAGTTAGAGCTAGTGTCAAAAGTCTGCCTTGTGCTTTACAAACAAACCCCTGAGGGTATACAAGGACAAAACTCCACCAGCTCTAGTCCAATGGGCTTCTTCTCCTGGGGTGCACTTCAGCTCAAAGGGTGTGTCTGGGGTACAAATGACAAAGAGAGGGGGCTGTGCTTCCCACTGCTGCCTCTTTGGGCCCACACCTCTGAGAGGTCAGAGGACAAGGGCTTCAGCATCTCCCCCTGCTGGAGCTGACAGGGCCACAGACTCCTGCCCCTGCAGAGATGGCCTCAACAGTGCCCCCACTCCCCAGGGAACACCAGTTGCAGGGTAGCAGAAGTTACTCTGTGAAGTCCTCACACCTCTTGCTGTCTACAACACACAGCTTGAACCATTAGCATGTCCCCACTGTCATAACACCCTAGAGGACAGTGGCTCTTGCTGACTCTGCATAGTATACATTGTGCCAAAGTCATCACTCACAGCCACAGATGGGATGGGGAGACGCTAATGGAGATAACATTGCATCCCAAATGGACACTTCCAGGCACATCTTCAAGGGGAAACCACTCACTTCCTAAGAATTCCATAACATCGGCAGATATCTGATCTGCCAGACACACCCCAAAATCTCAAATGTACAAGATTTAAGTGAAACGTGGTAATATGATGCCAGAAAAAGACCAAAGTGACTTCTTAGCACTAGAAGCCCTGGAAGGTATTGTGAATGAAATGCTTGTCAAAGAATTGCTGGGGCTGGGGCTGTAGCTCAGTGGTTGAGTGTTTGTACAGCCTATGTGAGGCCCAGCCACCATCATACTCAATGGGGAGAGAACTGCAAGGATTTCGTCCTAATCCAGGAAGGCAAGGGTGCCACTCCCTGCTCAATTTTGTATAATAGTAAGAAATTTTAGAAGGAGCAAATAGGCAAAAGAGAAGCAAGAAATATAAATAAGGAAGTAGAAGGTTGAATTTTATGTTTGCCCATGTACATGTAGGAAGGTAGACTCTAGACACAGCCTTGGAACTGACAAATTCAGGAATATAGCAGAACATGAAGTCAACATATAATGCTTAGCTCATGGTGATGCACACCTGTGTACTAGCTAATTGGGAAGCCAAGGCAGGAGGTTTGCATGGACTCACATGTTTGAGACCAATCTAGCCAACACAGCAAAAATGCATCTTTCAAGAATATTTAGGAAATGAATAATTATACACCTTTATTATAGCACACAGTGTAGTAGTGTTCTCATATTATTATTAAGTGCTCAAATATACTAACTAAATGATAATTATTTCTTCAAAAGATACATACATTATGCAATCCTGATTTGTCATTATACTGTTATAGGAAGTTAAATATTGAACCAGGCAGATTTACTTAATGTGTATATTTCTAAGTGTGTATATTTGCTTCAGGTGTGTTGGCTGGATCCCAAGGATTCACCTATCTCTGCCTCCCTAGCGTGGGGACCAAAAAATCGTGCTAGCAATGTGGGTGGTGGCGGTGCACGCCTTTAACCCCAGCACTTGGGAGGTAGAAGCAGGAGGATCTCCGCGATTTTTTATTTTTTTTATTTTTTTATTTTTTTGGTGTTTACGAGACAGGGTTTCTCTGTTTTGGAGGCTGTCGGTCCAGCCTGGCCTTGAACTCACAGAGATCTGCCTGCCTCTGCCTCCCGAGTGCTGGGATTAAAGGCGTGCGCCACCACCGCCCGGCTAGGATCTCTGTGATTTTGAGGCCCTCCAGGGTTGTTACACAGAGAAACCCTTTTTCAAAAAACAAAAAAGAAAAAAGAAAAGATTATACTAGCAAACTTGGCTCTTTGGCTTGGGTTCTGGAGATCAAGCTCAAGTGCTCCTGTTTGCACAGCAAGAGCTTCATCAACTGAGCTCTCTGTCTTTCCAGGTGTGTTCACCGTCGTTTTTTTAGAATTATAACTGTTTTTTTCTCCACTAGTATACTTGTTGTATTTTCTTTTCTTACAGCAAAGTATCCAGAGATCAAATCCTTGATGAAACCTGACCCCAACCTGATCTGGATCATAACTGGGATGGTTCTCATCCAGTTGGCTTCGTTGTACTTAGTGAAAGACTTGGACTGGAAATGGGTCATATTTTGGTCTTATGTCTTTGGCAGTTCCATTAACCACTCAATGACTCTGGGGATCCATGAGATTTCTCACAATTTCCCCTTCGGCCACCACAAGGCACTGTGGAACCGCTGGTTTGGAATATTTGCTAACCTCCCTATTGGGATTCCGTTTTCCATCTCCTATAAGGTGTACCACATGGACCACCATCAGTACCTTGGAGCTGACGGCATCGATGTGGACGCTCCTTCTCACTTTGAGGGCTGGTTCTTCTGCACTACTTTCAGGAAGATTCTCTGGGTTGCTTTTCAGCCTATGTTTATTTTTTTTCGACCTTATTTTGTCAACCCCAAACCATTTACTTATCTGGAAAATATTAATAATGTGACCCAGATCATTTTCAACATTATAATTTACTATGTTTGGGGAATTAAATCTTTAGTCTACATGTTGGCAGCAACTATGCTTGGCCTGGGTTTGAACCCAATTTCTGGGCATTTCATAGCTGACCATTACATGTTCTTAAAGGGACAAGACACCAACTCATATTATGGGCCTCTGAACTTTCTCATGTTCAATGGGGGCTACCATAACGAACATCATGACTTCCCCAGTATTCCTGGAAGCCGCCTTCCACAGGTAAGTGAAGTTTTGATTTATTGTTTTAGATAAACACTCATTTTAAAAGAAAACTGGTACATGTTATCAAACAAAAATTCACTTTAAAAAACATAAAGCAGAGCGTGTGTCAGTGACTTGTCCAGTTTCACTGAGGTTTACTCTCTTGGATTCCTACATTTGGTCATTACAATTATGATTCAGATGTGATACAAGATATGCAAAGTCTATTACTTGTTAAAATAGCTCAGTGGTTATGAAAAAAGACATGCAATTGGAAGCAGAACTTGGCAGGGTCAGGCCTGGTAGAAGTGGGGGATTGATACTATCAAAATGCTGCACACATGTATAAATGTCTCAAAGAATGAAATACAAAACACCCCACCTTAACACAGCCCATCAGATCAGCATGACCAGCTGATGTTCACTCTGCAAAGGCATTTTACTTCTGAGTTAATTTTAACTGTGCGTGTGATCTGTAGATTGTTCTTATTCGTGAAGAGTTGCAGGCTGTCTGAAGGACCATGTACAAAGGTGTTGCCCTTTGCCTTTTCAGTAGTTTGTCCCTGTCTGTCAGACAGTCACCTGTCCTCTTGAGGCCTCAGTAACACTCAGTTCATCTTGCTGTTTTTTTTTTTTCATTTCCAGGTGAGGAAAATAGCAGCTGAATACTATGATAAACTCCCCCATCACACCTCCTGGGTGAAAGTACTGTATGATTTTGTAATGGATGACACACTGAGTCCCTACTCACGGATAAAGAGACCTCCAAAAGGGAATGAGGTTCTGGGGTAAATATCACCAGAGCCGAAGAGAACCTCTCTGAAGCTTGATAATAGCTGAGAAGACAGAAATATCTCCCCACCCTATCTCTCTCACTGGAAATTTAACAGGTCGTCATACATGCCCTGCAAGAGCTCTGCCAATGAGCTATCTTCCCAGCCTGATTTTTTTGCCTGGATAAACTTGGGATTAGTGATGGTCAGAAGCTCTCTGTTACAATTGAAACTCAGATTTCCATGATATCAAGAACTCACTCTGGTTTTCAGTCAGCCTGACGGCCACAGTGCTCAGCTCTGCCTATAGGGCACTTGCTGTTGGGTTATCATTCCTGGTGGTGTCTTCACTCTTGTCTGTCACTTCGTAAACACACATGAAATGCCTGCTTCACTACATGATTTTTACCGTTAAATTTTACTTTAATAAAAAAGCAATAACTGTTCTGTCAATCAAAATGCATTGTGTTTTTAATTTCACTGTCTTTTCTCTGTGTTATATGGTTACATATACTTAGGTTACATGAGTACTTGGGAAAACTGAACTTTAACTGTCCTCCCCTCAAGGAGGACTGGGCGGGCTCAGAGACTGAGGAGGTGCACACCAATAGTGTTAAGTGTGGGGGGGCTGAGGAGGAGAGTCACTCCTCTACTGTACCTGGTTTTATGTACTTTCTGGAGCCTTGAACCAGATCTACAAGCTTGTACCTCAAGCATTTTACCCCCTGAGCCATTTCCCTAGGCCCATGACCTCTGTTTTCAAAAGCTCAGAGAGCAGTGCATGCATGCCTTGGGAAAACGGCCTTTCTGCTTCAGTTTAACAACACCACACCCTTTTAATGTGCACACTGGAAAGTGGATGGTCCTGGTCCTCACTAAGAAATAAAGAAAAATGAGGATTCAAAATGGGAAGTAACTTCTTTCAAGTTGGCCTCTTACAGTAGTGGGGAACCAGAACTGGATCTCAAATCAGTTTTAGCTCTCAGAATCCAGCTCTTAGAATCACCTTTATTCTAAATTTGGGCCTGCCTAGTGTCCGTGATGACACCACCCTTCAGTCACACACCCACAAAGCCTGCTGGCCTGCAGGTGAAAGCAGGGGTTGGAAACTGGGTGTCTGAATGCTGAGACAGAATTCCAGGAATGTGGAAGATAATCATCCACAGTGAATGCTGGTTCCTCCACTCCTATCAACTCACACTCCAGGGGATGCAGCAGGCTGTTTCTGCCTCCATCTTGGGCTCATAGAAATAAGGAAAGCTGAGAAGGAAAGAGAAGCCATCATGCCACACATGTACACATTGCACACAGCCCCATATTTGTGATGGCCAGTCTTACAGCACCGGGTCAGGCCTGCCTCTAACACATGTGCCCTTCGCTCCCTGCTCACTGCTGCCGTGTGCCGGCCCCAGCACGTCCCTTCACCCCAAGCTCAAGACTGCCTCCTTCACTCGCCCTGTACTGGATCCAATGGAACCCACTCCTTCCTTATGCTCACCTCTTACCTCAAAGCCTTCTCTGTGAAAAATCCTTTCCTGTGCTGAAAGGGTTAAATTTTCCCACTCTCACAACTGAGCTTAGGTTTCAGTTCTCCGAAAAGGACAAAACCAGTGCCTCTCCCACAAAGGACCATTTATCTACAATGCCCTTACATTTAGGGAAGAGGTCTAAGCCAGCCTCACAATGTTTCAAGGACAAATCCAGTTTTAACACAATAAATAAAAGACACAGAGACAGATATTGGGGTTTAAGCTTCAAACTGAAGATCAGAGAAGCAAAGCAGCTAAGCCAGAAGCTCTTAACTCTACCGCTGAAATGACAATCCTGTCTCCACCAAGCCTCAGAGGCAAAAGCTCTGAATTCCTGTCTTCTCCTTCTATTCCTTTCTCTGCCCAGCCATATCCTCCTGTCTCCACCCCCCTAATGCTGGGATTAAAGGCGTGTGATCCCAAGTGCTAGGATCAAAGTTGTGATATGAGCTCAGTTTCTCTTCACTCTTGTGTAGGCCAGGGTGTCCTTGAATTCAAGAGAGATCCATCTGCCTGTCTCCTGAGTCCTGGGATTAAAGTTGTGAGCCACCACTGCCTGGCTCTATGTCTAGCTAGCAGGGCTGATGGGATTAAAGGTGTGTATCAACACTGCCTGACCTCTATAGCTTGTGGTTGACTTTGCTTTCTGAATCCTCAGGTAATTTAATAAATTTAATTATTTGATAAATCATAAATAATATATCACCACATCCAGTAGCCCCTTCTGAGTCACATCAAAACTTGTTCAAACTTGTGCAAGTATGTCCAAAAATGATAAGGCTAAAAACCTCAGCTAATTAAAAGTATATTATTATAACTACTGCTTGCTTAACCAATAAAATTTGGGATGACCTAACTGTCCCTAAAACTCCCCTTAACTGTGCTTAAAAGGAGTCTGTATGGGCTTCTAGGGGTTGTTGCCATTTTGTACAGATGAGCAATCCCACATGCATGCTGATACTAATAAACACTCTTTTCTCTTACATCTGTTTGAGTCTGGGGTCTTCCTCCAGCATTTCCTCAGACCCTTACATCTGGTGCATTGTCCGGCAAATGCTAGGGACCCCAGCTCATTAATAGAGGGTTTCTAGGAGAGCATGTTCTATTCTCTGCCCACCAGTGAGTCTGGGTGTGTCTCTGTTCTGGCTTGGTGACTGGACAAAGAAAGAAAAAAAACTGAATCTTGTCTGGAGACCAGACACAAAACTGGAGACCTACTAGGGAAGGGTGGATTTGTCATTAACTTCCTCTTGGTTGGGGAGTCTGAGGAAGCTCAGAACTCTCTTCTGGTGGAACTGGGGAGTTTCAATCTGTTGGAGCTAAGAAGCTCCAATCTGGTTTATGGCAGTCACTGGTGGGAAGGTTCCTGTCATCTAGGCAGAGCCCGGGCATGGGACAAGGGCTGTCCTCTGCATCCTTTCAGCTCCTTTTTCAAGAACTGGTAGGTTTTTTTATGTATATGTGTGTGCTCTGTTCTTTTTGTTTTGTTTTGTTTTTTGAGACAGGGTTTTTCTGTATTGCTTTGGAGGCTGTCCTGGAACTCGCTCTGTAGACCAGGCTGGTCTCAAACTCACAGAGATCCTCCTCCCTCTGCCTCCCAAGTGCTGAGATTAAAGGCGTGCACCACCAACACCTGTCTGTGCTCTGTTCTTATAAACTATTATTAAGGAACTTAAAAAGCCAAGCAGAGTCTGGGGTTAATGATTTGGTGGGGAAACTAATGGTCTCTGCAGAAATACTGGCTGCCAGGCACTCTGTGCCCACCAGTTGCTGCACCAGCCATGCAGCCACAGCTTCTCCCAGCTTCCTAAGCCAAATTCCTCGCTGTTGATACAACGTGCAGCCTTGTGATAACACTTTCCCCACCAGGGTCTTCGCCTCCATTACTTTCCCACTTTAACCTTTTCCTGTCCTGACACGACCTAAGAAACTGCTTAATTAGACCAGGCTATATTCTTTAAGATGTCCTGGCTTCAGAATAAAAGTTAAACATATATTATGTGCAGGAAAAATGATGTTTTTATTTCCACAAGGAGGAAAATATGGTTTTTGGTCATTCAAATTCCATGGGTTATAAATATTTGCCATCATTTAGAGGGGTTGGTTACAAATTAGATATATTTTCAAGTTTAAGCCTAGGTTTGTTTAGCTCAGATATATTTATAGATGATGGTCTTCAAACCTGCCAGAGATTTGGTGAATATGATGTTTAAATTATTTAATAAAAAGTTTATTATGACAGAGACTCCCAGCTCCTAACAGTGACCCTGAGGCCTCCAAAGAAGATATGGACCACTATGACCATGCTACCTGGATTGTTGGTAACACTGACCAGTGGGCAAAATGTCCCAATGCAACACCTGTTGCCAGGGCCAGCCCAGACTATGTACAAACAAGACACTAGAGAATTGACTGCCCCACTTTTCCTGGACAAAATAAGGTTGGTCTTCCCCATGTTCCCCCTCCATAGGAAAAACTCTCACCTAATGGGCCTGGCAACCAAAGACTGATGCTGTCCTAGAACCTTTGCCCCAATGCTATGGAGACCACAGGAGCCTGGGTTATGGATTAGTCTCTGTCATTTTTAATAGACTCAGAAGTTGCTTGGTCTGCACTTCTTACCCAGATGAAATTTACCCTTCTCAGATCTCTGCTGATGTTGATGGTTTTGTTCGTTTGTTTGTTTTTCGAGACAGGGTTTCTCTGTATTGCTTTGGAGCCTGTCCTGGAACTTGCTCTGTATACCTCTCTGCCACACTGCCCAGCCTTTGACTTTCCTTTCAACCTTCCTGGGCCCTGACAACAACACCCCAGGTTCAGCTGGAAACAGTTACAGAAGAGAATACATCATCGCCATTTTGTACAGGTGAATGCTCACATGCATGCTGGAATATTAATAAACACTCTTGGCTCTTACATACTATTTGAGTCTGGGGTCTTCCTTCACCTTTTCCTTGGACCCTACAATGCAATTGCTTGATTTGTCAGTTTCTACTAAAACCAACCCTGAGACAAGGATCAGGGCATAAGTGGCTTCTCTGGAGTGTTACCTTAGGGAAGGATGAGGGAGTGGGAAGTGCTCAGAAAAGTAAGAGAAGTGTGTACAAAGGAAGCAGAAGGACCATGGAGCAACCAGGCTGGGAAGCAAAGAGGTATGGAGAAGTCGCCCAGTGCCCACCTCGACTCCTGGGACAGTTCATGGACCGCAATCTTTCATCTCTTCACGGAATTGTACATTTACTGCATTTTCTCCTTTCTCTGCACCCGGCATGAGTTGAAAAGGTCTCTCTGAGCAGGAAGGAAGTAGAGTTGCACATTGATCAACCTCAGCCCCTCTTCACTAAGGGCTGGTTTGGCACTTGAATCTCTGTCATGTGGGAAGGCAGAGGAAGTTCTCAGGCAAAGAGAACCATGCCAAAGGCCTTTACTGAGGATCTCTGTCCTGAGTGGGTAGACAGGAGAGGAGGGACCTGACCAGAAACCCTGCTGCCCCACTGGGGTCACACCACCTCTCCCACATCATTCTCTATCCCAAGTCTTAGGGGACTAACTAGGGCCTCACTGGCCCAGAGTGGGAGAGGGTTCTGACATGCCTGGAAAAGAAATCTGGAAAGTGCCACAGAGTAGGCTAGTGCTTGTCATCCACTCCCCAAGCCTTTAAGGAAACAACACTGTCAAAAAGAAAAATAAAGGCAACTGGGTTTGGTGGTACACACCTTTAATGCCAGCACTCTGGAGGCAGAGGTAGGTGGATCTCTGAGTCACCCTGGTCTACAGTGTGAATTCCAGAGTTATGCAGAGAGACCCTGTCTCAAAACAATAAACAAACAAAAATTAAAGTGTGTAACATAGATCAGTCCTTCCAGACCCCAACCTCTGGCGTCCCCAGCTTCAGGTGAGCTCA